GTTGTTGGAGCCGGTGTAGTTGTAGTAGTAGTAGTAGTTGTTGTTGGAGCCGGTGTAGTTGTAGTAGTAGTAGTAGTTGTTGTTGGAGCTGGTGTGGTTGTGGTTGTAGTAGTCGTTGTTGGAGCTGGTGTGGTTGTGGTTGTAGTAGTTGTCGACGAAGGCATTTCAGCAGTAGGAGGAGAAGAAGACGCCATACCAGAAACTGGTGTAAAAACTTCAACAAAAGGACCTACAGGACGTGCATCGAAAGTTGGACTACTTTCATTCGAGTCATCCTAAAAAGTATACCAAAAATTAGGAAATTGAACTTATCAAGAAACGTTGAGCTTTTTTCAAATAAAACGCACCAAAGTATTGGATGCAATCGATGCAGTTATTATTGGAGAATTAGTGGTAATTCCAAAAATCTGATCCAGAGGATCCCGCCATAGAAAACCTGGAGGAGCCGTCATCTGATCACCATTGGATTGACCATTCAACAAATTGTCAAAGGAAGGTATTCTCGAAGACGATGCTGGTCCTTCGCTTGCTGCATTCTGATATGAAATATGAATTTTGTTGTAATAACATTTTAAAAAGAACATTACAACATATCACTTACTGCAACTGAATTTATGTTGACACTGACAACACGTGGATTGGTGCTAGGTGCACCATTAGTCCAATAATTAACAAATCTGTCCTGTTAATTAGAAATAATGTGAAGCTAGTAAATGAAATCATATTTTTCGTTTGCCTATTCTTTTGCACTTTTTACCTGTCCAATATATACCGAGTTACGTTGACCTGCAGATTCTCTAGATCTACTACCTTCATCCCTTTGCCGATCTTGAAAGATACGTCCATTGATACCATTCTGTCCAGATCCCTAAAAATGAAGAAAACTCATCAGTATGTCATAAAAATACATCAAACTAATGTAAAAGGTTCATCAAATCATATAAGCGTAGCATTAGAAATATCGAAATATGACTTCCGTGTAATTAGGTGACTACAGTGAGTGCTGTGAGGGTGCGAAAAATATTTACAAAAGTGCCAAAACGTAAAGAAAGAAAATTTTCTATGTACAAGTTTCTACACAACTCGATCATCATGTTTCGATACTTTTATCCTGTTGAAAAAGAACGTCAATTAAATATCATATTTACGATGGGTTTATGGAACTCTATAGGAGAAATTGAACAAGTTTTCAAATTTAAATCCGATTGCTCGAGATTATTATAATATATACAGAAAGAAAGTAAGAGAAAGAAAGATACAATAAAATCAAATTATCAACGCATGCTTTCACAGTGTCACATTTATCTACTCGATTCATAAAATTGACACTAGTCGTGACACTGGGAAACTATTAGTCTAGCTATGAAATTATGTCAAATTAAATAAAAGCGTTAGTATACTACTTATTGATACTGCTGTCAATTTCTATATTATTATTTGTATTGATATTGAAAAAAATAATGTCGATATAACAACAGCAGTATCGTTTCAAAGAAAAAAATCGAAAAGAAATGAAAGTTACGATCTCGAACAAATTGTCAACTCGTCACAGATTTATGATGAACGAATTTAAATATGTGGGATAGAGATACCATTGTATTTGTGGTCGCGACGCTACCGGGGGTACCAAGTGGGCCCAAGAAATCGGCTCCACCTCCGTTGGATCCGCTGATCGCGTTACCAGTAAGTCCCAAATCAACGGTGCCAAAGTTTTGGGCATTTGTCATCAGGTTGGCGACAGGTCTACGATTATTATAATAGCTCGGGGCTTGGTATTGATTAAAAGTGCCTTGGTTAGCCTGGTTATAAAAGAACACGGGTGGTGGTCTGTTAGTGGTAGTTGTAGTGCTAAGAGAAAAGACAACCTCGACCGGATTGCTTGGTGGATCTGGTATGATCGTGCCATTTGGGAACTTCCGAACCAATCTGCCATCAGGGTAGATACCAAATATGACGTATGGGCTGTCAACGTTTCTAGCATCGATGAGATTATCTTCTGGACGTTTCCTGACGATCGTTTTATTAGGATAAATCCCATAAACGTGATAATCGCGTAGAGGAACTCTGGTAGACGAGCTAGGACTAAATCTAGGGGCTGGAGTAAGCCTGCTACCACCAAATCGACCCACGTATGGACTGGTGAACGTCGCCTGAGTGGTAACTGGAGATTCCGATGATAATTGAGGCATACTGGGAATAGTTTGAGACGTAGTAGACGGTGCGGTGGTTGTAGTAGTTGCTGCAGTTGAACTTGGAGCTGGGGTTGTAGTTGTCTCTGCCATTAAATCCATTGTCGTTGTTTCGACGTTTGTATCCATCCTGGATATTGAATTGGAAACGTCTGGAGACAATGTAGTAGAGGCTGACATTGTGGAAATACTCGTTGATGCTTCGGTTGAGATAAGATTATCATTTATATCAATGTTATCTTCCGTAGATTGCATGGCAGACGTTGTAGACTCAGTTGCAGTTGTAGTTTCAGGTGGACGATCGGTCGTTGTTGAAGATGCTGGTGTAGTCATGGTCGTCGTCGTCATCGTCGTAGTCGTTGTAGGTGTCATGGTCGTCATTATCGTCGTCGTCGTCGTCGCCGTCGTTGTCGTATCAATGGATGTCGATGTACCAGATGAAGAGGATTCAGTGATTAAGGAATTGGAAGAGTCTGACGTTGTTGTGGTTGGAGACTCTGTGATGATGGTGGAGGGAATGATGGTGGTTTCGTTCATTTGATCGAATTGCATTGTTCCTGAGGCTGCCGTCCCTTGGGCAGTTGCTGGTGTTGCATCCTGCAAACGGTCAATATCAGTTGGAGTGGTGTTCATGAAATCAAGGGGAGATAATGAGGGATCTGTGAGTATTATCGTTGTGGTTGTTTCGATTGGCCGGTTAGTGGTGATAGTCCCAGTAATATTTGTTAAATTCAACAAATCTGTATCGGTTGTTAGTAACGGTGGGTTAGTAGTTACCTCTGCATCGTTAACAACCATTTCCGTCGAAGTCATTTCAATTGTTTGGTTAGTTCTGTTGCTTTCGATAGATTCATCAAGAGCTTGTTCGGTTATGGTTTCGGTAATAATTATTTCAGGGGCTTGACTCGTTGAAATATCATCATTATTAGTTACTATTTCCGTTGCAGTTGTGGGCTCTGTTATTGTAGTGGTTGACATGGGCTCGGTTGAAACGAGATTAGTACTACTTCTATCATTGATTACAGTCGACTGAGTTAAAAGTTCGATGTTTGCGGATGATAATGTAATTTCTGTTGTACTAGTAGGTATTTCAGTGTCAGTATCTAAAGGATTTCTTGTCGACAATTCATCATCATTTACCACAGTGGTTGTTGTCAACGATTCTGCTACCATACTTGGAGTAGATGAGACCGATATATCTATATTTCCTACAAGGGTAGTTGTCTGAGTCTGGGTCGTGGTCGATTGAAAATCATAACTGAGTGTCGTCGATTCAAGATCAGCAGTAGAAACCGTCGTTGTTTCTGCATCCTGCATAATCTCTACAGAACTCTCAGTTATATTCTCAAATTCTTCATTCGGGACAATTCCTATTTCGTTTTCGATGGGTGGTTCAGTGGTAGTAGTAATCTCAACATTTTCTAACGTTGTTCCTAATTCAAAACTGGTATCATTTGTCTGAATAAATTCCACTTCGTTTTGAGTTACGTTAAGAGCTAAACTATCGTCCACAATTTCAGTATTTGTAATCGTTGTTGGGCTAAAAGGAGTAGTGGATTCTATTTCATTTTCGGACAGGTCGATTGCTAAAGTAGTCTCTTCTTCACGTTCTGAACTGATCGTTGTCGTCTCTACCTGTTCTGATAGAACTTCGGTAGAAAACTCTGCCACGTTCTCCGTAGTACTGTCATTAAGGGACCCGTTGTCAATATTTATCACCGTTGTACTAGAATCAGTGGTCAAACTACTTTCAATATTCTCCACATTTCTTTCCGAATCAATTGTGATTGAAATATTGTCCAATTTAGTTTGAAGGGAGGTCTCGTTCATGGCTTCCGAAAACAGGGACTTCGCGAGTGTCATTAATTCGGTGAGTAACGTGTCATTAGGAGCATCAGTAATAGTGCTTTCTAAAGTAGAATCTTGTAAGGTCGTTGGTAGGAAAGTAGTCATTTCTGTTGAATTAATGGGACTCTCTGGGGTGGTGATATTTACACTGGATTCATTCTCAAGGCTTATAGAAGATACAGGTTGAGTTAGCAATTCTATATCCAATGTTAAATCAGAGCTTTCAGCACTCGCTGTTGTGCTCGAATCTGTGGTAGAACTAATTTCAACAGTTTCCAAAGTATTCGTTTCTGAATCATTGAAACCTACTGCTTCTTGAGTTGACGCATCCATCGATACAGATGTGATATCGTCAGAAACTGTAGTGGTTTCTTGTTGTTGAACGATTGTAGTACTCTCAACTGGATTATTCGAAATGATATTTGTATCCAAATCAGACGTTGTAGTTGGTATCTCGGTTGTTGCAGCTGGAGTCGTAGTTAAAGTTGGTGGTAAGGTTGTTAAACCTATAGAACTTTGCAAACGAGATAAAATGTCTTGAGCAAAGTCTATCAACCTCGTACGGAAAGTCGTTACTATTGGTAGATCAGTCGTTGTTCTTATAGTAGACGTGAAATCATTCGATTCAGTACTGCTGCTCAAAGTTACATCGGATTGTTCTATAATGTTACTTTCGATACTTTCAGTGGACGTTTCAATGGAAGAAGTCGTTGAAACGATAGATGATGCCTGCGAAGTTGTTGATTCGGTAGGAACGATAGTTGTGCTGTCCGATGGGGCTGAGGAATTTTCTACATTTTGCGTTGTACTTGTTATTGGAGTGGTATCCATGTTATTAGTCACTTCTGTAGTCTCTGGTAAATCTACTAAACGACTTTCGATAGTAATCGATTCCGTAGTACTAACTACATCTGTACTGGAACTCATTGTCTCAACTGAATCCGATGATTGGGTCACAGTAGTTGTAAGAGCATCGTTCATAGAAGTTACTATCATAGAGGTAGGTTCCATTGTTGGGGTAGAAGACAAAGTATCTACAGGATCTGTACTAATTGGACTGTCTTGTGTCGTTGACATTTCTTCAACAACTGCAGCACTAGTAGACAACTCGGTAGTTGTCGTGTTAGTTTCTATCATTGACTCAAGGGGTTCAACAGTCGTGGATGCATTTAATGACTCGGGTAAACCTTCCGTGGTAACTGTGCTGGGGTTCTCCATATCCTGGTTTAGGTTTTCGTTCGATAGATTATCCGGTTGGGTGTTGGTAGTGTTTGGGGTCTGTGGGCTCGCGGTCTCTACATTCGTGGGACTCGTGGTGTCATTGTTAGAATTGGCGTTGCCATTGGTGCCGTTAGTTGCGTTGTTAGAGTCTACCTGAGTTACAGTGTCATTAAGTCGTTGCTGTTGAGAATCCCCTTGTTCATTTTGGATGCTAGCCGATTCCAATGCTTGATAGTATGTTAAGAATTTGGGCTCTCCAGGACTGGAAATATCAATAGGTGGTGGCAGTGCTGAACCAATATTCTGTAATCAGAAAATGAAAGGTGCGTGCAAGTGCTATACATAGAATAATGTGCCTCGTGGTGTAAATTAGATATACGAGTATATTTCTATTTACAAATCGATCGTAGATTACCTAGAAGAAAAGAAATGATCATTAATACCGATTGATACACGGCTTGCTTAGCCAATTAAGTGAGCATACACCATCTCTTGGTAAATCCCTGAACTATATGAGAAAGAGTACGAACAGGAACACCTGAGAAACTAGCTAATACTATGAAATACTATGAAATAGTATGATATACTATATGCGATCGGGTATATAGCAGATAAACTCGTTCTTAAGGTTAAAGATCTCTCTTACACGGCTATCTAGAAAACTGGCCGTTCACTTGGAAGTCTTTTTCTACTTCTATAGAAATATCTTACAACTTTAAGCACCTTCCACAAATGTGGATGCTGTCTTTCGATTGGAAACAAAAATATTCTTCAATAAAGATCGCAAAGAAAGATAGAATGAAATTCGATTAAAGTCAAACAACTTGGCCCATCGATTTATAATTTATTTCACGAATGATAGTCAAAATTTAGTAGTGAATTGTTTGATAAATAAATAAGAAGAAAAATCAATAAAGTCAAGACAATTGTGATGTTTTTGACATATTAACTTACAAGTTGACCTCGATTAACGTGCCGCATATTTCCTTCTTCCTATAAAACTCGATCCCCTACCACCTACGCCAAGTTCCAGGTACGTATATCGAATATATAAGAAATTCACGTATTACGCACACGATATCGTACTTTCACCATCGTTACAGTAGTCACGTGGAATGTTCAAACAAATAGAACAGGATAATCATCGTTATGTTCTATCACATTAAACAGGGATTACCATTTAAATGATTAATTCATTTTTTATCACATTAAAAACAAATAAAGAAAGAAAATCAAATACTAAATATTTTGTCAAGATCTAAATTGAATAATAATATTTAAAAGATATTTTATATTTAATTGGTAGATTTAACGTATACGCGTAACCATTTTTGATGTATATGTTGCACACATACATATACAGTTATAAAGTAAGGACGAAAAATTGCATATCGCGTGCAATGCAAGAAAGCAATACATTTATTACAAAATAATATATATATGTATATATAAAATGTTTATGTATTATAGTACAATACTTTCATTTATACGTTATTCCAAATTTTTCGAACAACAATTAATGTTACGTCAATATAAAAAATAAAAGTGTTAATAATATCTGGCTAAATATCTACGGTGCATTAGTGTGTATCTATATACTTATTATGTATATCTATTGTATATAAATAAAAAGAAAATAAACCCTTTCGTTATTTTTCTTTGTTTTTTTTTTGTTCAGTGAAAATTCCTTCAAATCCACGTGCAAATTACTGACGTTTTCAAGGTGCTGCATGCTAGAGCGTGATAATTTGAGAAATCACATTGAAACCCTAATAACTATAGTGTATACTATACTATATACCACAACCTATAATAAATGACTGATATATATATTAATAATTAATGAAAAATGGTAATGCTGTAAAAATAAGAAGAAGAAGATAATCATAATATAAAATATTTGGGGATTAATTATATAAAATCAGTAATCACTATAATAATCTAACGAAGATTATTCGTATCAACGTTCTCCGAATTGAAAATTCCATTGGGGCTGGTAGTAATACCAAGATCGGTGGACCAAGATGGTGGTGCAACACTCTCCAAATCCTCTTCGATCTTCGTGGTGAATACCTTTTAAGCACACAAAATAATAATCACGTGATTCTTCCTAATGTTCATGTTTATTCATACGGAGCCAGCCTAAGAAGCCATCCACGATTGCAAACAATTTGCTTACCTTCCTTTTACCATTTTGTTTTTTTTTTTTTCACTTGATACCTCAATTTATTCAAAGAAATCAAAAACGTGCAAGAAATTGAGTGTGGATACAATATGTTTTGCATATCATTTATATTATCTTACCTCTATCGGAGTAATTTGAGTTGTTGAAGAACTTGTAATCGAAGGTACAGTTGCTTGATAACCCGTTGATTTTCTAACGAACAATTCAGCTCCTTTGTACCTAGCACTAAATCTTGGTGGTGATCCACTTGGAGTGATCCTAGGAGTAGAGCTCTGTAAGATCCAAATTCAAATATTTCTATTAACAAAACGTTATTGTTAATTGTAAAAAATGAACTCATATCGAAATTTAAAGAAACTTATTATCAAGAATGATTAAAAAAAATAATAAACTTACTCCGTTGTTAACGTTGCTGTAGGATCCAGCAAAAATCGGTGTTTTGTTACCCAAAGAGCTGAGAAGCGGCGCTACAGTACTGCGTAGTTGTTCGAGAAGAGTACTGTTACCACTGAGAAAGGCACTTCTAGTAGGATTGAAGATGTTGCTGGAACCAGTATTACCATTGCTGCTGTCGGTAATACCAGACTCAATCGAATTAGTATCGTTGCTGATCCTAACGCTAACTTGTGGTTCTTGCGGTATCGATCGAGTAGTCGGTGTTGAACTTTTCAAAGTAGCATGATACTTGGGTGTCTTAGGTGTGATTGCTACACCCGAATTAATGTCAACCTTGTTGGTTGATTGTACCGAGGTCGTTGGTATTTCAGAATGTCTACGATAAGTCGCTGTTCTTGGCCGAAATTCTCGTCTTTTTGAAGACGTTGAAGTCACCGTTGTAATAGTTTTTGGAATAGGATCAAAAGGTTTAAAAATATCAACCTTTTTTCTACTGTATCTACTGGTAACTGAAGACGTTCTCGATGTAGTTTGTTCAGGAATCTCGTTAGTATCTTCAACGATCTTGTCTTTGATCAATTTTTTCGGATAACGTGTTTGAAAGTTAGCTTTAGTCACGCTGTTCAACATTCTTGGCTTCTTCGTTTGATTCTCTTCATTCTCGATAATTGAAAAGGATTGTTGTTTGTTCGATTTAATCTTACTCGTATCTACGTGAATATCAGTAAGAAGACCATTGTTAGAATCTCTTTCCAAAGATTTATTACGTCTAGCTAATAAATTGTTTGATTTGAATTCTTTGATTGCACTTCTAGGTGTACTATTAAAACCTTTCAAAGGTTTCGAAGTAATAGAAGATAAATCTTGAGTTTTGCTTTTACGAGTTGAAAAGATTTCCTCGGTAACTTTGGTCACTGTTTCGACAACATAATTTGGTGTATCATCTTGAACCGATATCGACGTTACTGTTCTCTCAGATATAATTCTTCCCTTTTTTTGACGAGATGAATTTTCCTCAAGCTTATCCAATTTACGTTGATCATCCATTCGACTGGTCTTACTAACTTTAGCTACTAATTTGTCAACCTTCTTCGTTTCTTCAGCAATCGGCATGTCAGTTGTTTTAGATTTGCCAGTCAAATCCAAAACATTTTCTTGATCGTTCAATTCAGGCTTCACCAATCTCCTAGCTAATTCCAATTTCATTTTTGATCTTTCTGAGAATAAGGTAGACGATGATTTCTTTCCCTGTAAAAAAATCAATCGAGGGAAGGATCTATCATAAAACATTTGTTCTAAATTCATTTCACAATGAAAAAGATTTTTAAAAAGTAAAGAAACAAGAGAAAGAGTTAATCTGTTACCCTGATCATATTGAAGAAATTATCCATCTCCTTAGAGGAATCCTTCTCAAGGTCATTGAAACGATGCAGACCACCACGAGAGACACACACAGAGAGAGAGAGACAGAGAGAGACTTTTTCATTCGTTCATTAGATATTTTTCTACGATCCTACATCGTCTAAACTTTTCGACTAAACTCGAATGATATATAAAATAATTCTATAATTTATGAAAATAAATATAATGAAAGTAAGTGTCCATTTAAGGAAAAAGGATGAGCCCGAGATAACGTAGGAAGGAAAAGATCCATCCTGCCAATTGACTGGCAACCCTTTCGAGCCATGACTTCATCGAGCTGCTTAACAACTGAAACTTCAAGTTTGGTTTGTTTTTCTTTCCTTTTTCTACCTTTCTTTTCTTTGCGTTATCTAATCGGTTCAACTAATCGTAAAGCTTATGTGATTTGATTTTTATTCTACTACAGAATTTCAATTATTCCAATCAAGCGTTTACTACTTGTCTAATATTTTTACAAAACTGTACATCTATCTTTCCCAGATTTACACTGAAGATAGGTTCCTCATAAAACCCATGTAAATTGGGGGACAGGTGTGTATTTGATTTCTAAATTGATTTCTAATTGTCTAATATTGGATTGGTAAGAAAGTAATTTGAGCTTGCACCAATAGATAAAGTTATGTTTGTTTCGTTATTCTATGTCAGAATTTTGTTCTTTTGATGTTTGGTAGTTGACACTTTTTAGGTTGCTATAGAAACAAATTTTATGTAATTTTGTTTACAACTGTTAGTTTAGAAACAATTGAGTTTTATTTCACGCTAGAAAATCAAAATTACTTTCTTGCCAACTCAATATTTTTACAAAACTATGATATAGTACATCTATCCCTCCCTAAATTTACACTGAAGATAGGTTTCTCATAAAACCCATGTAAATCGGGAGACAGGTGTATGTATTTGATTTCTAAATTATTTTTCTACAAGATGAAAATGACACTATACAAACGATCTATGATTTATGATTTATCTACTGTCATTACTTTTTGATTCTATTTAATTTTGTTTTTGATATTGTTGTTGCTGCCAGTGCATTTATCTAATATACAATAGCAAAAGTGATATTTTGTTTGCGTTTAGTAAAAGCCTGAGAGAAAAGAAGGCAATGAGAGAGAGAGAGAGAGAGAGAGAGAGAGACTTGTAGGGAGAGGTAAATTTTGTAATTCGTGCGATTTCAAACGTTCACTCGCGTGTCAATTGTCATGGTCGTCGAGTACACGTAGCCTATCTTGTAAAAGTAATCCTTTCGATTGATCGAAAGAGGAAGCGAGAGAAAGAGAAAGAGAGAGAGACAGAGAGAGACAGAGAGAAAACGATCAACAAAAGTAATCTACTGATCTATAATTACAAAGTATGCCGCCAATCCTCTCGCCATGTGTTTCAAATCAGAGAAAGAAATCTTTTTTTTTTCATATTTTTCTTTCATTTGTTTTGATTTGATTTTATTTTAATCATAAAATGGAACATCGGACGTGCGAGATTATCAAGAAACATACAACTTTCATGTTAGATCCTTTCTAGCCTACATTTTGAAGTCATTCTGTTCCGATTAACTCATTCGAAGTAATCTAAAGTTTATTAAAAATGTTCGTCTCTTATGAAACGATCATGATCACTGCAATGATTAATTATTTTTATTATTAAAAAGATAAATTTAATTTAAAAAAAAATATTATTAACTTTCACGATTTTTTGTCGATATAATATAATAATTATTAATCAAGCTAACTTTCTCATTGCAGGATGCAACATATTAATATTGTAAATCTTATCAAATTGTCAATCAACTTTGGCATGACTACTTTTTACCAAATCAAATTCTAATAAAATATGTTTTATGTATGTTACCTTTCTCTTAAATAATTCTATTTTTCAAGTAAATTAATCCAACCCTCCATTAAAAGCAATTGTCATAATCTTAGAAACAAATTTATCCGTAAATTCGTGTCTCTTTTTTTGTCTGGAACCTTGACAAAAATATGAGATTTTTGAAAAAAAAAAAAAAAACAAAAAAAAAACAAAAACAAACAATGAAAACCATAAAAGAGAAAGCGAAGAAGTCAAGTATCGTATTTCAATGACCTAATTTGAAATTGGAGAGCAAACAGTAAGGTGAAATAAGTGGATGATCTTTCCAAAACCAGTTCACTTTCTCCTATATCCTATATCCTTGAAAAATCAAGTTAAAATCTTAATATCCCTGATCCAAAATAACTTACAAAGAAAAAAAAACAAAAGTAAAGAGCAACAACGAAGGAATAAAAATATTGGATTGACCTTGAGAATATTCCTCAATTTAAAAAGGAACGACAGATACATCAACGATTGATCAATTAATCAAACGATATGTGATGTAATATGACAAATGGAATTAATGAACATATTTTGTATAATAATTGAAGAAGCATAAAATAGGAATTTGAGCTAATGTAAGCGATATCGTTTAGTTACACGTAATTACACGTATCAGTGGTTATTCAAGGCTGTTGTTGGTGAATGTTAAAACGATCGGAAGAGAGATGCGGAAGAAAGTTAATTTAAACGATAAAACTTGTAACGTGTTATTGCAATATACAGCTAAGTAATAATAATAATAATTATTATTATTATTATTATAAAGTATTACACATTTAACTTACCTCTGTACTAGTTCTTGGGGTACTACTCTTGGTAACAGCAATTTTGGGATTAGAATTTTTCTGAAAAACAAATATCATTGGTGTAATCGTCGAGTAGATTAAAATAGAAAACAAAAACATTAGATTAATTTAAAAAAAAAAAAAAAAACTTACCAATTGTGATAATCTTGCTTTGAAATCAGGAGGATAATTATCACTCTCTTCGGAATCTTTAACAGGATTTATTTGTTCAACAATTTTGCTGCTGCCTCTTCTTGGATTTTGATTTTTCGTTGTACTCGCCACAGTAGAAGTTGTTGATTCATCAATTTTTAACTTCTTCGATCCTCTTCTGGTAGTTGGAACGATAGTTGTAGATTCTGTATTAATCGATTTATCATCAACAGAAATAATTTCATTGGTCTGTTCTTTAACAGTAGTACTATTCGATGAAGAAGTTTCGATCTTATCTAAATGACCAGGTCTTCTTCTTAGTGTCCAGCCAGGATTACCACGAACTTGTGTAGAAGATGTCTTTATCGGTTTATTCGGGCTGGAGGTTATTTCATCGGTTGGAAATTTTCTACCTCTAAATCCTAAACCATGATTAAAATAATCTTCCTTCGTGGAATTTCTTCCTCCTTGAGAAACAGCCCGAATTCTTGACCTAACTCGAGATGGTCCTTCGGTAACTGTACGAGCCGATTCTCGTTGTCCTGTACTTCTGGTTGTTGAAATTGGAACTTCTGGAACCGGTAGTGTGGTGTACTCTAACGTTCCAGTTGTCATTTCGATTGGAATAGCTGTTGGAAAATCTACAAACAAACATTTTATAATAAAAGTTTCAAAATAACATGTATTATATTATTTGAAACTTACCAATTAATTTTGGTGTAGTTGTCTCAGCTCTGATCCTTCCTCTAGAACGTCCACGATTATCTTGAACCGTATCTACAGATCTTGATTTAATTTCAGGATTTCTAGAATTCCTGTCACCAGAAGACCTACGTTTGATCTCTGCTTGTTCTGAAACTCCATTTGTGATTGATCTCGAAACGATATCCAAACTTCTATCTCTTGTTCTAGATTTTTTGTCAACGTGATTTCTCGAACTTCTTCCATCGTTTCTATTTTTCGAACGAGTGGTAACAGTCTCGATGGTTTCAGGCGTGGTAAAGTCAACGAACTTGGATGATCCTCTTCTGGATTGAACCGATCGCGAATTCGATGTAGCAACTTCATCGTTTGATTTTCTCCGATTTTTCGTTCTATCAGAATTCCTCGAATCTTTTATATTCGATCTAGAATATTCACGATCGTCATTTCGTCTTTCAGCATTCCTAGATGAAGATCTTGATGAAGAATATTGATTCTCAGCAGGATCATTGATCACAGTCGTAAGTTTTGGATAATCCGTAGTCGCCAAAATGAGTGGTATGTCAACCCTGACACTTTCAGATTCTGTCAATTGCATCGAATCTTCCGTAGTTTTGATTCCTCTTTCCGAATCCTTCCTAGATCCTCTTGACGAACTATTTTTTCTTGTACTATTTGTCGAACTTTCAGAATTGAATCTCCTACTAACTGGTAATTCTTTTTTCAATTCTTTATCCGTATAACTCGTATGTATCTTCCTACCAGTTCTTGATCTTGAGTTTTCTGTAGTCCCAGAAAATACCGATGGTCCAGTGTTAACATTTAACTGTTGATCATTACCCTTTTTAATGGATTCTACTTTAGATGAGACTCTACGAGATGCATTGTTCTCTTTTCTTAACCTTGGTGCTTCTAACGTTGCTTCCTGATCGATTCTTCTTGAGATTTGTTTTTGATTTTGTTCAGGTAAATATCTTCTTTCGTTTCTTCTCGATGATCTTGCTCTCGAATCAGTTAATTGTTCAGGATTATTCTTCTTATCAGCAACACTTCGATCTCTCGATCCAAAAGATTCTTTAACATTGTCAGAATTTCTTGAAACTTGTCTGTCGTTGTTAGATACTCTTCGAGTTTCTCCCTTCCTTTCACGATTTGATCTCGAACGTAACGAAGATGCTGCACTGGTAGTTTCATATTTATCTAATAATTTTCCATCGAATTTTGCTGTACCTCGGTTACCAAACGTTTGCGATCTCTGCTCTTCCACCTGCAGACAATATATTTCTTTAATTATAAGTAGAAGTGAAAGAAAAGATTTATACATTCGAACGAGTTGCGAAATTATTCATATCCGGTTTTACTTCATATACTTTCCTATATATATATATATTATTTATATATATATTTTATGTTTTTTTTTTTTCGTTCTTTGTTGTCTGAATCCCCTTTACTTTATTTTTAATCCAGGGACAGGTAGGATTTTATCCAAGTGATTGGATTTACTTGCAAGGTTTTTTTGTGGATTATTATATTAATTATTTAAAGATTATTATGCAAATATAATGAATTTAATTTGTTGCTATATGGATTAATATGTAAAAGTAATAGATTTTATTTGAAATATATTTATATTGATGATATAAAAATTTATTATATTATAAAATATATTATTATATTATATTTTATATTATATATTTATATTCATATAAATTAATATAAATTAATATATTTATAATATAATATTATATTATTATATTATAAATATAATATTTTATATATTATATAATATATTAATATTCATATATTTTATATAAGCTTCTTAAATTCAAATGACAAGTCTCACTTGTCAAATATACCCAAAGAATTTAAGGTAATACACTACTGTATATAACCGGAATATACAAAGATGCTTAAGATACAAAGATTCGCTTAACATCACCAATTTATAGATCATAGATCTATAGATCACTGGGACAAAGTCATCAAATTTGATGATCGATCTATGTTTACATAACGAATTACATCGAATACTCTGATAAGGTAGTTGCAAAAGCATTAATTATACAAAGAGGCTACTGAAAACTTTCTCTTGTAATTATCTTTTGATAACTGTGAATTAACTTAATGAAGAGTAACCATCGAGAACTATCGGATGTGTGTAATATAAAACTTGGTTTTTTTTTTTATATAATCGGATAATCTATTAAAATTATATTGCTACGTTTACTCTGTGACATATTTAAAATGTTAATTCTTATAAACTACAATATCTTTCTTACAATCACTTTTTCTAATAACAAATTCAAATCATTAGTTTCATTAGCAATTGTATTATGTAAAAATAAGCAATAGAAATTAATCTGAATAATAAATAGAATATTAATTATAATAAATGGAAACACACACACACACAAAATGAATAGTAGGCGAATTGATTAACATCTGACGAGTCCATATAAGATGTTTTTCTAGTTTCCAGATCAGATTCATACGATTGGAATTCTACATTACGTGCAACGTGATTCTTTGTTTAAATGAAAAGAAAAATATATATATATATATAATTAATAAATGCAATATACCAATCCTTTGGATTATATTTTTTTTTGTATCTACCTAGTTGAATAGGTTAGAATTAAAAGGAAAGGTGAATCGGTAGCAAGAGCAGGTCGATTGCTAAGTTGTCGAAAGCTTGCGAAAGTGATCGTTAGGATGGCAATTACGTCAGATAAGCATCGTTTGAAATAGCAAGATTTACGTAAATGGAATTAAGTACAATCGACAAATCGTTCGACACTTATATCTTTAAGCCTGTTTGATGATCATCAATAAAAAAAAAAACAAAAAAGAAACAACGAAATTCTTTCATTAGATTAAAACACAGAGAACTAAATCATGATCGATTTATCAATCTTCCATAGTTCGTGTTCTCAATAATTTAATGAAATTAATTCGATCAAACGGCTTCAGTGATCTCTGACGAGATAATTATGTGATCAAAGCGATCAACGAAGCTGGCAAGTAGTAATTCCCTGTCTGTGGTCAGACACAAGATCATCCTTAATGTTTCTTTTCAACCTTCATTGATTTTCAACTTGTGAAAGGATCAAACGTCAATTATTTTACCTTTTAATTTAACGATATCTTCGTATGAAATATTTTATTTTTTGTTTTCTTATCTTATTTCTTTTTTTTTTCTTTTTGTTCGATTCAAACGTTTGCCATAAAACTATTTCATAGTAATGATTTCGTTATTATACATTTCATTGGATTTATAGTAAATGAATGTTCTTATGAAATATATACATAAGTAATAATTACATTTGTAATAAAAAAAAGAAAGAAACCTCACTTTTTATAATCGATCAATAAAAAATATTTATCGTTGAACATGTAAGATGGAAAATTCAACGATGAACGGATATAAATTGAGAAAATCATAATTTATTTAGCAAGCATAGATAGTTCCGGTTATGTCGTCGATCTCTGAACGTTGCTATTACGTCTTAACAACACGCACGAGATCGGAGAAACGAGAATATACGTTTGTATATATATGTAAGATTACAGGTCTAAACTGTGTGATCAAATATAATAATTATAATATATGAATTATTTTTTACAAACTCTTTTTGTACAACCAATCAAAAAAAAAAAAGAAAAAAACAAATTCATTTCCTGGATTCGAAACAATTAGAAAAAACAAAAATTAAATCGATACTTTTTTTCTCTGGTTTGCAATCGAGCAGGTAAAAGGTATGTGAGAGTTAGATTTGAAACGAGTAAGAGTACCTGTATTGGTATATTTACTATATCACATTAAGGTGTTCAATTTCAAATGGAAAACGAAGCCGATATACTTTTCCAGAAGGTTGCCTCTAAACTTTTGAAAAATAATGCGTGGGTTATCAATTACTAATACCTCTCTAATTTCTATGATCCTTTTTTTGTTCTAATCCTATTCACTAATTAATTGTCTTTTGTTCATCGATCTTTAAAATCGTATTACAATTAATGAAATGTTTTTGTTGAAAAAATAAATACAGATGATAAGAAGTCGTCGTATTTTCGTAGCACAGGTTGTTCTCTCGTTGTTCCAGTTTAAGTTTTATCTTTATCTAATCCTAAAGAACACGTACTTACGTACGTAGAATCGATATTGAAAGTAAAAGTCAACGTTTCCACCACGTCACGTTTACTCTTGGTCAAGCATGCAATAGTAGCATTCAACAAGGCTGACCGATCGTGCGAATTACATACCTAATACTATTTCAATGGATTTTGATAACACTAATATCCCTAGTAGCACAAAATATTGAAAAATATTGAATACACGTGTATTTAATATTTAAAAAAATGTCGAATCTCTTTTTAATATTGATATATCTATAAATATATCTATAATATATCTATAAATATATAAATATTAATATTAAATATATTAATATATATTTAATATATTAATGTATATCTAATATATTATATCATTATATATTATATTATATATTATATTACATATTATATAGTATATCATTATATATTATACTATATATTATATCTAATATATTGAATATATTAATATATATTTAAAAATTAATTTATATATTAATATATTTAATATTAATATATAAATATTAAATACACATGTATTCCATATTTTTCAATATTTTGTGCTACTAGGGATATTTTTGACTGAAAAATTCATTTTATTCCCGGACAAAATATAATTTTAACTTTGACGAATAATTAATTAATGATAATAATGAATTTGAGAGAATATTTGAGAAAGAGAAAGAGAAAGAGAAATACAATAAATAGGGGAAAGAAAGAAAGAGAGAGAGAGAGAGAGAGAGAGAGAGTAGAAAATAAGTTTGATGAGATATTAGTAAGAAAAGGAAAGGGAAAGATCTTATAGTGTCCCTTCACTTCTGACGTGAAAGGCGGATAATAGTTATAGTTGTTGTATTATTAAAGCATTTACCAAGTTGTGATTCTATTAAATTATCCCGTTGGTACTAATGATTCAACTATAGTGTGTCGGTATCGTGTTTGTCGCGTCATGGTGTTAATCTTTGGCAAGATTTCATAAGCGGACCAATATAACAGCTTCCTAGTTGAAAGAAACTGAACGATGATAGATAAAAAAAGAATAATATTGTATCTAACTAATCTACTAAACTACATCGAGTGTCCTAAAGCTGTGTTGTATAACTTTCTCCAATAAGGTAGACGACAACATCGTTCCGATTAGTCGTCCTTGAATTTATTTCATAAATAATTGTATGAATAATTATTTATGTAATAACAGTCCAAACGATTTCTTTAATCTATCGATCAATTTGCTTAATCCTTTGAATGATGAATATTTTTATTTCAAATGTTTTGTTGCATATAATGTATTATATTATAATAAATATTATAATAAATATTATAAATATTATATAATATATAAATATTATTTTTTATATTTATTATATAATATAATAATATATATTATTATAATATTATTATTATTATATATTATATTATAGTATTCTATTATTATATATTATATTATTATATTATTATATTATATTCTATAGAATAGTATTATTATAATAATATATAATACACTATATATTTTGATAATACTATTTTATATTAATATATAATATATAATACTATTTAATATTAATAATAAAATTATTATTATAATATACATTAATATAAACATTACATTATATTTTACATTACTATTAACAAACACGTATGTATATGCATCGATAGACCACTCTGATAATTTTTACCAAACGCATATATACGTTCATAGCACTCTAAGGATTAATGGTAAAATTGCAAATTCGTCATAGGTGATATTTGCAGTTTCTTTAAGTTGCAATTAAATCGACTCTTTCTTCTGTTTAGATCGAGCAAGTAACATACTCATTAAAAGTGAAATCTTCGGCACATCTCAGCAAAAGGATAATTTGAAAGATCGATCGATAATAACCGGCATGCATAATCTAGTAGCTAGAAATAATAATAGCACACTGTGATTTCGTTTGGAATAGTTTCAGAGATGATTCGTAGGTGTCTACTAGCCGGATGGAGAGAATGAACCTTTCAAAATAGATTTAAAGAAAACGGAGAGAAAGAGATCTTCAAAATGAATCCTTTAAATGAATAGTTTATGAGAACGATGACGTTAAGGTCGTTTATCTTTTAGAAAGCCACGATCTTTATTGTCGTTACTCGTTCAAAACATAATAGACGAGTAGAATGTAATAC